TCTAACGCACAGCAGCAAGAATATATGAGAATGTCTCCCACTTTGTTAGCGACCATATTTTATTAAGAGAGAAAATAGTAAAAGTTTTCCCTGGCTTAAGCTAGTCTAGTGAGCTGAGTAGAATATAGCCAATATTGAGTATAATAAATAGCTAAATGATTAAAAGGCCTTAAAGGCCCATATTTTTGGTTGAGGTTTGAGCTATCAGGCCTAGATGTCTTGGTATATCTTTATGGCATGGTTCACCTTGGATGTGCTTGAAATGGCTCTGCTTAAAATGGTTTTGCCTGGCCTCACTTTGGAACTGTGCTTTCTATAGATTTGCATGGTTAGTGTGTTGTTTTCACCACCTGCATGATGGTTTTGCCTGGCCCCACTTTGGAACTGTGCTTTCTATATAGATTTGCATGGTTAACGTGTTGTTTTCACCACCTGCATGTGCTAATATTACAGTGAGGCGTTTTAGTATTCACAATCAGATCAACTTTTTCTGATCTGGAATTCTCAAAATTACACATCAATTAGCCGCTTTATTTATAAACTTTTGTAGCTGTAAACTGCTAATTATTTCTGTAAAGTCATTTGGAGTTTGAGAAACACAAATTTTAGAAGTTTAGGTTCAAGTTATTAAGGTTTTTCAACATTTCTGTTATTTTTTATTGTTGTACATGTATTTAAGGTAATCTTGCTTAGATAGTGAAATTTATGCCAAACATTGTGACCTGATTTTTTTTTCCCTCATTTTGTTTCTTGCCTGTGCGGCATTGACTTGATAGCATGCTCTTCTTTCCTTTGATTTTGGCCTCTATGCAATCTGTATGCATTTCCTTTCTTTCCTAGAGCATTATGATCTCACTATGCTAATTGTGGAATTCTTTATTTCATTAAAAGAGTAACTGGGTTATGATCGGTATTGACAACTCTTCATGGTTTCTGCTGTGTATTATGGCTAGGCTTCCATATCTATCCTTATGGTCTTATCACATCGGTATAACGTGCTGCTGATTTCTAGTATAAGAAGTATAGAAATTGTCTAAGTAGAAGTATTCTTTGCTTATTTTCTACATAGAAAACCATCTAACTAGGAAATTAATGTACTGCACTTCTTGTTCTGCTTATAGCTTGTTTGCAAAGATAGCAATGGAATTTGAAGGCAGGTTGAAGAAGAAAATTTCTGGAAAATTTCCTGAATTTGGTGCTATCTTCATGTCAAATGCATCTACAAGGGTAGAGTGTTTTGAGAGAAAGCTCTTTGGTCTTCCAATGTCTTCTGCTGACTTTGTTAAAGGAGTTAAGGTTGGAATGATTTTGTTTCTTTTCGAATATGAGAAGCGAGAACTTCACGGAGTCTTCAAAGCAACTTCAGATGGTGAGCTAAATATTATTCCTCATGCATATAGTTCATCAGGGAAGAAATACCCTGCCCAGGTATTCATCAAATCCACATCCAACGTTGTTGGTTTTTGCTTTATTACAGCATTTCTTTTATTTTTCCAGAATTTTTTCTTCGGTAATTTTACTTTATTTTTCCCTTTACTTTTTTCTTTTGATGGCTATGGTTGGCTGTTGGAGTGCAGCTATTTTTTATTATTACTACATATTCTGCTTTACATTTGTCCAGGTTAGGTTTACCGCAATCTGGCACTGCCATCCTCTTCAGGAACATGAATTCCAGGATGCTATTAGAAATAATTACTTCGCCACAAACAGATTTAACTTTGGGCTGTCTAAAGATCAGGTCTATTTTTTTCTAATTTAAGGTTAACTATTTTGCTGTCTTTCTGTCAAAAAGATTTATTGTATCATCGCAAAGGATTATGCAGTTGAGTTCATTTAATTGCAGGTGCACAGGCTTCTAAGGTTGTTTGATTCAAGAAAGATAAGAGTATTCCAATATCAAAGTTTCATAGGTGGTGAAACTAGAAAAAGGTATCATAAGTCTTCACTAAAGAAAAGAGAAACAGAGAAAGATAGGTCCAATCATACTAAGAGCGCCAGAAAGAAACTGAAAAGGGATATCGATAGCGTCTTTCATTCTAATGTAGAGCCCTTAGCATATTCTGGTAAATTGATTGTGGCAAAAGATGAATCTCAACTGCTAGATTCTGGAGATTCACATATTGCATGTGAGGAATCTGATAGCATGCACTGTAATTGCTCGTACTATCCTGAAGGTCCTTATAGCCAAAGCTCATTAGCATTTGTTGCCAGTCACAGCTCTACTTCTGGACAGGAATTGGGCCCTCATCCTGACCATGCTATTCAAAGTGTGCCTGTTAGTGTTGGAGAAGAGCTTAAACAGTTGGAAACTTCAGGAAATTGTGACATTGATCTTGGAGATTACATACCTTTGTTGCCCTCTGATGATTCTGACTCCACAGATAGCAGGCCTTCTCCGGAGTCCGGATGTGTTATGAAAGATCACGTAGGTCTACCTTTTTCTGCCTCAGGTCTATACGAGGATACATGCCAACCAGTTCCTACTGCTTCTCCCATCACAAAAGTAGGTGATGTCCTCATAAAGGAGAATGCTTATAGTTTAAAATCCCCAAAGGACGACTGCCAAGAAAACTGCAATTCAGATTTGATCTATCAGTATGCATCTGTCAGTAATCTGTATTCTGATGCTTCAAACAACCGGAGCAGTGTGTTCTCTCGTTTGAATTTTTCTTCCGGAGTACAAGACAAAGAGGATGATACCAGATTGGAGAAATCAATATATAAAACAAGAAAACAAAAGAAGTGCAGTATTGAAGTGGATAAGTCAGCTCAAGATTTCATGGAAGGATTGCGGCAAATGCATGACAAATGGAAGAAAACAGTGATAGTGTCTAGATCTGTTGAAAGGGCAAATGATCACACTGCAAACAAAAAAACAAGTGTGAGTATGTGTTTGGGTAGGACTTCAGAATCTGATGTACAAGATAATGACATTTCTACAACGTTGCAAGAAAGACATGACAAACAGAGGAACATGAGAGCAACTAAATCCCCTGCTTCAGGAGGAAAGAGAACCAGCGTGTTTTTGCGCTTGAGTAGGACTTCAGAACTCGATGTACACAATAGTGGCAGCTCTACATTGTTGCAAGAGAGACATGACAAGCAGAGGAAGATACAAGAAACCAAATGCCCTGTTGCCGGAAAATTTAGCACTTACCACATATGGTAAGTTCAATTTGCCTTGACAGTGAAGATGAAGTAAAAGGCAAAAGCTTGACCGTTACAGACTCAGATAGAAAGAGCTGGATGATAATACTAGTCCTTACTAGGCTAGTACTGCTGTCAAAAGGTCACTGAAGACAGGAAAGAGTCACCACCTTACATCAAACAGCTTGTAAGAGTCCATGAGAAACTGACTGTTAAGAAATATAAATCTGAATGTTATGAGGCTAATTCTGGAACTAACGGAGATGCAGGGCGTGGAAAATCTAATGATTCAGGAAGAGCAGATTGGTCAACATTTGTAATCAGTTCAGCCCAAGAGTATGTCTTGAATTTGCTTCTTTTTTCTTTTGTTTTTTTTTACGCCCAATGAGTGCAATTAGTAGGCAAGTATAGGAAACATGGTGGGACATGGAACATGTGCAAAAAGTGTAGTAGGGAGCAATTGGATTAGGATAGAAAAGCAACAAAGTATTAGGTCTTAGTTTGTTGTAGACATTTGCAGCAGTGAAGTTAATATAGCAGAGATATCTACCCAATAGATAACAATAGCAGATTTCATCAAACCATAGAGAGATTTAAGAGGGAATGACGGGGAAAAGACAATGGTAGCTTTACTTAATGATTATGGTGAGAGACTTACCTAACATACTGTAGTTGGGTAATGTTCATATGTCCGACATTCCAATAGTTTGTTAACTATGTATATGGTGAGAGGCTTGCATAACACCTTGGCATTGTAGCTGGATAATGTTGTTTTTTACAATGTTCACACGGAATAAATGAAATAATAATTTCATAAAAATATTCTTTTCTTTATGAATAATCAGACTGTCAAACACAATAACCTTTATCTTCTCAGTATTCCTATGTGCATCAATATTGATGTGCCAGATCTTTGACTATTTTGTAACTTTATATTCTAAACTATGTCTGCTATCATTTCAATTTTTTATTCTTTGAATCCCTTGAGTACAGATTTAACGTAAACAGATGCACTTAAGTTGTTTTATTTTTATTTTAAATTAAATAAATTTTTATGATTAATTATTAATTTATTAATTAAAATAATATTTGTTATTTTTATATCATCTGGTATATTTATATGTTATACTAAATGATAATTTATTAATATATCATTATTAATAAATAATAAAAATTTATTTAATTTAAAATAAAAATAATTTAATAATTTTTTAAAAATTTTATATTTAAAACTTAATAAAAAAATTGTAATATAAAATCTTTTATTAAAAAAAAAAAACAAAAGAAAGCATAAAAGCCAAAAAGAGGCAAATCGTCCAACTCAGGTCGTATTCGGCGCTCGCAAAGTCCAGCACTTATCACATATTTTGACTGGGAAAAGAATCACTTGGGACTTTGGCAATAATTAATGTATGTTATCTTTTTCTAATTTTACTTTTTTACCCTTTCACCTCTCTCTCTCTTTTATCCTTTACTTGTTAAGGTTGCCCTTTTCCATCTCAAAAGGGGGTAGTTATCAATATTAAATTAGCTATGGGTGATTGATAAATACCCTCATTCACAATTATCATTTTCATGTAAGGTACCACGTCATTCATTTTCTTTTCTTTCGTAATAATTTATTAAAATTTTTATATATTTTTACCTCATATTCAGTCTAATTCCAATTAAACATATTAAACTCTAAATTCAACAAATTATTAGTTTAATAACAATAAATAAACAAACTCATGTGTAATTAGAACAATTCCACCTCCAAAGTATACTTTCGCAAATCAATTAAAAAGGGTAAAATGGTAATTGAATGGTTAGCAAATTTAATGAAAGTGCAGGGGCATTTATGAAAGCTGATAATAAAACTCAATCCTATAATACATTCTCTCCTGCTCACATGCTTCTCTTCCCTTTCTTCCCAAGTTGTCTGCTTCTCTCTCTTGACGTTTTTTTATTTTTACTTCATTTTTTGCAGCAATTTGTTCTACAATGCAGGTAAGCTGAAATCCTTTTGCCTTCATGTCTTTTATGTCTAATGAAGCTAAAAACTTAATCTTTTTAGCTATTTTGAATATAAAATGTTAACTTTGTTGTTGTTTCTAATGTTGGGTTTTTAGACAAGAACTGTGCAAGTAAAGAACTTGTCAGATCTAGCAAGCGAGAGGGAGATTCATGAGTTCTTTTCTTTCTCTGGTGATATTGAGCGTATTGAAATCATAGGGTAAGTTTTCTTTTTCTTCTTTGAGTTTTGTGTAAAGGGTTGGTGGGTAATGTGTTTGGTGGCTGAGAAAATATAGGAAAATGAAAGAAAAGTTGGAATTTTGGATCTTGAGCTTTTTCTTTTGTGGGCCAAAGTTCATGTTTTTAAAGTGAACTTGTGTTGAATTTAGACTTTTTTTTTATTCTGCTTTATTATTGTCTGGGCATCTAACCTGTAAGGAAAGGCTGCTTTGGAGTTTTTAATGTTTTATTTTTGTTTTAATCTTTCTTTGGGTTGGTTTATAAGTGCAATGAAAGGAAATTGAGAGACAGTTTTCTTTTTTTTTTTCCTTTTTCGTTTGGTGTTCTGGAAATCTTAATGGGAATTTAATAAAGGAAGACTAGTTGTTCTGTTGGTTAACTTGGGTTGCTGTGTTGTGTTATGGCTGTTGCAGTGAACCTGGCCAATCAAAGATCGCTTATGTTACATTCAAGGATCCAAAAGCTCTTGAAATCGCGTTGTTATTGTCGGTTTGTGCCTAATTTGGCTCAGCTTTTTATTGCTAAGTAGTATCTAAGGGTGCATTTTCTTTTCTTGCCTTGTAAATCTCAAATATTGGTTACTTAAAGAAATCAGCTAACCTTGCAATGCGTTTCCTTTAACTTCATTGTTTAAACTGAACCTTGTAAGGTCATCCCAAAAGTAGGTTGCTTATACCTTCTTAAATTGAAGTAATTTATTAGAACTGGTTGAATGTACTAACTAGCTTGTAAAGTTACGCTTTAATTATAAAGCAATGCCAAGTAGGAAGTGTTATCTCATTCAGATGCCTTGAAAGTAAAATTGTTTAAACCTTTGCTGAATACATCTTTATGTTTCAGTCTCATAAGATGATAAAAGTTTTAAGGAATATTAATGTAAGGTGCTGGTTTTCATGGTTTTACTTCAACTAAGTTTATTTGATCCGAAATGGGAAAGTGGAGTAAATTTCTTAAGTGATATTGATGCAGTCAATCATACAGCTTTGTGATTTTAATTGTGGACTAGCCAAAAGTAAGAAAAGACTAAAAAGTTTTTCTGTTTTAAGACTTTTTTTTCCTCAGTGGACAGTCGCTGTTGGTGGAACCTGACTCTCTGTAAACTGCATATCCTATGAGGTCTTCCTATGGACTATTAGGAGAGATAGAGTGGCCATCTGAGGGCAGCCGTAACCAGTGTTCAGTCCTGTCCTGGGACAAGTCCCCCTTGGATTCCCTCTTTTTCATCATATAGTGTGCCTTTGAATAGAATGGGATAAATTGAAATCCTGTCCTTCGTGTTTCCCACTTTCCAAACATACTGTGATATTCCTTCAGTGATATGATTCCTGATGTGCACTTTTTAAGATTGGATACATTTGTGTTTTCCACATTAATTAACAATTAGATTAATATATCTAGTGTTATTTAAAAAAAATTAACTGACAATTCTTGGTATAGTTCTTTTTAATCCTGTCACATCAGCTCCTCTTCAATGGTTACTATTTGTCTTTCTCTCTCTTTGCACTGATCAGTCGATTGTCCATGCAACAACATTGATTCCTCTGTCATGAAGTATAATTTATGCTTGGCCATTTGTTTTTCCAGAGAGTTGGGCATAAGTTGATTAGAAATCTCTGTTCATTTTAAGCAAGATTATTCTTCATACATAACCGTAGGAAGTGAAATATCTGAATCTCTGCTGCAGGGGGCAACAATTGTTGACAAGATCGTGGTAATAACTTGTGCTGAAAATTATGTACCAAAACCTGAGATCCATGTAAGCTGACTGAGAAATTTCGCTTTCTCCTTTTTAGTGGATTTCATGAAATCCTTATGCTTTTGAATTGCAACTCATGTAGGAAGCAAGTACAGCAGACAACACTGTGTCTATTACTTCAGCTGAGCAAAGTGCACCAGACGCTGAGGTACCAAATTACCTTAGAATTATGATGTCTAAAATTTACTTTGCATATAAATTGTTACCTAGGTAGCTAAATATGGGAAAGATGTGGGAAAAATACATTGATATGTTCATTATTTTTTTTGATACATAGCTGGTTTAATTTTATCTTGGCAATTGCCTAGTTGCTTAGTTGAATCAAGTAGATTTTTAACATTGAATTCAGACAAGAGGGACATTAAATCAGGAATTTTCATGCATTTGATAACCCTGGGATAGGAAAGGAGAAAAAAAAAACGAAAAACTTAGGTTTAGAATCTTTAAACTGGACTAGATCATCCTGTTGTTAATGCATGATGTACTGGACTCTGGACTCATTCCTGGAGCTGCCCTTTTTGCTATGATATGCTCAGGCTGAACGAGGCTGAATATTATGGTGGCAACTTTAACTAGATTCTGTCATTTGGATCTAAAATTTATTATTTTAGTTTATGAACTCAGGCTATCTGTCTATTGCAGCAAGGTAGAACTAGTCCACCTGGCAGTGGAAGAATGTATGTTAGTAAAGCACAAGATGTTGTTGCAAGTATGTTGGCTAAAGGTTCAGCTATACGACAAGATGCAGTGAACAAAGCTAAAGCTTTTGATGAGAAACATCAGTTGACAGCCAGTGCATCTGCCAAGGTTATTTCCTTTGACCGCAGAGTTGGGTTGACAGAAAAATTGACTGTGGGAATTTCAGTGGTTAATGAGAAAGTAAAGTCTGTGGATCAAAGGCTGCAGGTATCAGATAAAACCATGGCTGCAATATTTGCAGCAGAGAGGAAAATAAATGACACAGGATCAGCTGTCAAAGCTAGCAGGTATGAGGCATCCTTCTCAAAACAGTTACTTCACTTCTTTGCTTCATAGGCAATAGTGAATTTGGTTGCTCTGAGTGAGGTAACTATGGAACATGCCAAATGCCAATGACTGCCATTGTATTTCATTTAGCACTGGGGGAACTGAATATTTTAGGAAAAAATAGTTACCATCCTTTTAATGAGCTTCATTCTTGAGTTACGATAACATTGAGGTACTCTGATTTGTTCTGGACAGGTACGTAACTGCTGGGACAGCTTGGCTTAATGGTGCTTTCAGCAAGGTTGCAAAGGCTGGGCAGGTTGCAGGTACAAAAACCAGAGAAAAGTTCAATGTGGCCATGTCAAATTTGACTGCCAAGGTGGGTCACTCCAGTGGCACTGAAACAACAATAGTTGAACTATAGATTGCAGTCCTAAGAAACACAGTCCATCTTCTACACTAATGATGCATTTTATTTTGTTTGAGTGCAGGATCCAATTGCAGTGTAAGTGAGAATTTGGCGTCTTAAGATCCAATTGCAGTGTAAGTGAGAATTTGGCGTCTTAAGGTCACATCTTTCAGATCCTTGCTTGCACATGCATTGGATGGCCTCGTTACACCAACATGGAAAGAGGGATCTAAAACTGGGGAACTAGATGCTTGGGGTAGGATGCACAAAGTTGTGTTCAGTTTTGGCTTGAAGTGTGTGCTTATGCAATTCAATGTGTTATATATATATATATATATTTTTACATTATTCTTTGATTTCTAGGGGTATTGCGCCTATTGAGTTCCTTGTAATTTTAGAGGCTTTCAACTCAGAAAGAAGCTGAAATTGATGTTACCATTGTGCTCATTGACACTTCCCTTTTGTATCCTTTTTCACCCTTGAAAGAAGAGCTGAAGTTGCACTGATATGTTAAAGGTTTATCCTGCTGCCATTACTCCTTATGCAAACCAAGGCCAGATTGGCAATACACACAAAAGATAATATCTGATCTTTTTCAGTGCAAAATCATATGTGCAAAACTGCGAGTAAAGCTGCCTTTGGGGTTCAGGCATACCTTATATCGCAAGAACATCCACCATTGACTTGTAAATGATCTCGTTTCGCTTTCTTTGATTTGATAGTAGTGAAGGCAAATATCATAAATTAAGTCAATAAAAATATATCTTGCCAGGTAAACAGGAATCTCTGATTACAGCTTTGGCTGACCCAACTCTGTTTATAATTTTGATGATGATTTCTAGTTTAAGACACCAAGCTGACAAATGGACAACCTTACCTACAACTAGAAGCGAAAAGAACATGCCAACATGCTAAAATCTCCGAAACAAGGGAACAACAATAGGAACTGTGCTAATAATATAAATTCACATAAAATTAATAAACTTACCTGTGGGTGCCTAAAATAAAATTAATAAACTTTGTTTTGTAAATAAAGCCAAGGCATGGAAATCTTGGCTGTTACGTCCAGCAACACGCATGTGGTGTGCATGTGAGTGAGGTCAATTCCAAACGGTGGCGATATCTTTTAAGAAGCTGTTGGCTTGAGACTTTCCTTATTCCTATAGTATCTCGTCACATTCATAGCTGGACTTGAATGTTTAGCTATTTCAGCAGCGTTAGGGTTTCACGTTGGAAGAGCAAGTGGGTGGATCGTGGAGTCTCCAAGTAGTGAGGTTGAATATAATTTTATTATAACAGGCTTTATTTTACCCTTTTTAAGTTTATTAAAATTAATTGTTAATTAATTATTGTGAACCATCTCACCAAATAAAAATAAATAAAATACTATCTAATTTTTAAAATTAAAATTTTTGCTAAACATATAAATCCAACTATTATCTTTTACAAAATATATAAATTCAGTCATTAATCATCTATTAATGTTTTCATTAATTTGATATCGTGATAATATTAAAAGATAATTTTATTTTTTATTAATTTAAAAAATTACTATCATATATTTTTTATAAATAAAAAGCACCGTGCTCTCCTCTCTCGAGCTCCTTCAATTTTTTTTTTCAAAAAAAATTATATAATAAAAATCTTTAAAATTAATAAAGAAAAAAAATCACATTTTAATATTTTTATATTTTTCTGTTAACAATATTTATACCCAATAAAAATTACTGTATGAACGAAAAAAAAATTAAAATAAATTTTAAAATTTTAAAATTTTTAAAGAAATGACCCCTTAGTAGACCCATTGCTTCCGCCACCATATTAATGTAAATAGTAAGTTTTAAAAAGGCCTTAACAGGGGCGTTCCCTCAAAATTATAATATTCATTATTTTTAATATACATTTTCCCTAAGTTTGTGCAAAAAAAAAAAACAAAAGAGATTAAATAATAAAAATGATGTAGAGCTAAAAAAGAAATCATATCCTAACATGTGATATTTCAACATAAGAGAATTAAAGTTTTAATATTGCATGATGAAATCATAATGCAAGGATAAGGACATGATTTCCATTGATGTAGTTGTCTTAGAGTGCAATTAATACTGAAATCTCTTCTGGAATGCCATTATTATTGCAAGGTAACTATTTCATAATAATTACAAACCTTTTGTTTCAAATTTTAAAATTTAAGCATTATTATGCTTCAAAACTTGTAAATATTCATATCTTAGGAATTTTTTTTTATGATGAGAAATCGATTGAAAATAAAATCTAAAGATGCATGAAAGCTTTAAATAAGGAATTAAAGTCAAATTTGCTACTATACTATGGTTCAATATTGAATTTTGTCATTGTCCTTTAATTTAATTGAATTTTATCATTATATTTTTAATTTATTAAGTTTTTAATAAAAATAACAAAATTGAAAAATTTTATGACATATTTCATTAATGCAAGTGATAAGTTTTCATAAAATTGATTAATTTTTTTCAAAAATCAACAAAGTAAAAATATAATAAAAAAATTTAATTTTAACTTATATTATAACCACAAATTAAATCTTACTCTTTCTAAATAACCATTCATATTTTTATTGAATTAAAATATCAAAAATTCATGCCTCATATTAAGTTAATATTTTACAATCAGATTAAAATCAGTGCAAATTGCATTTACTTATTCATACATATAATGCTTAGAATTTACCAATTAATTTTGTTTCTAAATTGTTCCTTATGAATTTTTATTATGAATTCAAATATTAATTTTGAGGGCATTTTTGGAAAAAAATATGAATTTTTATTACTTTTAAGACTTCTAGCCACATGTTTTGGCAATGGAGGAAGAAGGGCATTGTCGGCGACTTATGACTTTCAAAATTCCTATCCAACATCCAATTAGAGAGTGACACATGACACCAAATCTGACGTGTTCAAACATTATTGGGTAGAACCTGTTGGCAAATTTTCATAGAATTTGAAGTAGTTTGGAATACGCTACCGTTTTATCGAAATAAAATAATCAATTCACGCACAACATGCTGAATTGAAAAAAATAAAGGAGCTAAGAGAGGAAAGTCAGAAGCTCAACAAAAGTCGTTAAGCAAAAAATAAATAAAATAAAATAAATATATAAAAAAACATTTTTAAATAATTAATTAGTTTAAAATATATTTAGTGTATTATCCAATAAAAACTTCTTAAACTCTCTTCTCTTTTTATTGTTTCTAATTTCCTTTTATTCTTCCCAAAATTCATAAATTATTTTAGTGTGTCTATTACTAATCCTTATAAAATTCTTTGACAAAATCAAAAGTAAAGCATTTTTCATTTTTTATCTAAATATAAAAACAAAAAAGAAAGCTTTGAAAAAGAAGCTTTAATCATCATTATCTTCTTTTTTTTACACTTGAAATTTGAAAAATATTAACAATTATTATATATATTTATGTTAAATATACTGTCATTTATATATATTTTATACACTATCAATATATAAAATATTATCATCTGGTTTAAATAAATTAAAAATTAAAAATTTTTAAAAATAAATACTCATAATTTTTAAAATATTTATTTTTTATTTTTATAATTTTATAAAATAATATTAATTAAATAATACGTCAAATATAAATTCAGTATTTATTGTCGATAAAATTGAAATAAAAAATATTAATTAGGGCCCATTGAGAGGACAATATTGTCTTTAAGTAAAAAGGACATGCATATATTTGTCATCTCGGTCACTAACTTCCGACATTTACAGGCGTTTGACGAGCTTACAACTAACATTGAAATACTAAAAACTTCCAAAAAAAAAGAAATATTTAAAGAGAAAAAATGCTGCAAAAAGGTGGAAAAGCAAAAAACATGCTTACTTTTTTTTTTTTTTTTTCACTTTTTAAGACGTGATTTAGATCTTGTAAATTACTCTTTAGGCCACGTGGCGGGCATGGAAAGGACAAAGCGTTACGTGGACACAATTCTCGCGGGCGTCATAACGTCAAAAGCACAAGGTCAAAATCGTCAATATAACATGGAGTTCCCCAAAGTACCCCTTTTGTCTTGTCTTGAACTCTTCTTTCCTTCTCTCTCTCAATGTTCTCAGAGTTAATGTTTTTTATGCCATTTGGTTCTTTGGGTATATTCTTTTGCTTTGATTCTCTATGTAACAGGAAATAAAGGGGGAAAAAAGAAAAATTCTTCGCTTCATTTTTTCATAATTCTTCTTGGAAGTTCCGACAGTTTCTTTTGGGAGTTTTCTTTCTGAGGTGAGGCAAAAACTTTTGTTTTCTTTGTTTTTCAATATTCAATTGGAAAAATGTAGTCTGTTCTTCATTTCTCTTTTGTTTTTGTCGAATTTATTGAGAGTATGGTAATGGGTATTTTTTTTGTGTGTGGTGTTTTTGTTATTTGAGCTGCCATTGGTGAAGGTGGGAACTTGAGAAACTATGGTATTTGTTGGGAAGTCTTTTTGATTTATTGGTGTGATTTCTAAAGATAGGTATTGGTTAATTTCATGTAATTTTGGATCTAGAAATTGAGTTTCCTATGATTGATCTGTTATGCCCTTTTGTTCTTATTCTAAAATTTGCATCTTGGTTTAATTGTAGAGCTTTGCTTGTAATTGTTTACGTTAGAATAATAATCCGCTTCTTTGAAGTGAAGCAGTCTAAACCCATTGCCTCTCTCTCTCTCTCTCTCTCTCTCTCTAATGCCTATTATAGTATATTTGAGACCACTTTCAGATGAAATGTATCTTCTTTTTTAATATTGTAAGCAAACCTGTTTTTGGCTCTTTGCAGTAGAGTTTGTAATTTATTTTTATATTTACATCATAAAATTGCAATCTTTGGTTGTCTTTATAGTAATTGAGTTGATTTTATGTTGTTTATATTTTTTCTACACGGTATGTTATGCTGACAAGTGAAATTTTAAATGCAGCATGTTGCTTCACTTGTTTACGAGGAGATATGTTTCTTCCTCATGAACACTGATGGGGGTTTGTGAATGGTTGTTGAAACTGGTATGTCTTTTTAATAAAGATAGTGAAGATGATGGCGGCATGATATGTTTTGACACAACTCTGCATTTAAATGGAAAAATATTCTAGACTCTGTTGATTTCTTGAACATAATATGGACTAGATGGAATAAACTACCTAGAAGGCTGTGGTAGTTTGTTTGGTGTGTGCTAAATTCTTTATAGGCATTTGGAGAACCTCTTTGTATTGGCATAATCTAGTGGAGGCACAATGTTAAGCAGCAGCTATCAGCTGTGACTTCTGAATAGTAATTTTCTATAACTTAAAAAGAGTATTTATAGATTATTCCCTCAATATATAAAGTAGTGGAGATGTTAACTTTACCTCAAGGACAGAAGCAGAACCCCCAAAAATCCTTGCGAAAAATCTTACCTAGTGGGTCAAGTAAAAATTTGTGGCTTGCCGTGCGAGAAGGGTCCTTGGCTGATGTAGATTCAGCATTGGCACTTTTGAAGAAGAATGGAGGTAATAT